TGGAGACCCTTTAAGATGAACTCTGGATGGTGATTAGGCTTGAGGGGTTCAACACTGATTGGCTTGTGACGGTGGGGGATGAGGGTAAGTAATCAGTTTCTTCAGTTCAACTTCTGCCTAGGCTTCATTTTTGGGGTCAAATCCTGCTGAAAGAAAACAAACATTCAGATTATGTTAGTTCTCTAACAGCATCTCAGGTCTGCCCAGAGCTTTCTGTGCGCCTCAGTTCAGGCTTATGTTACGGCCATTTCTATACATTCACCTGGTCACTAGTTGCATGGTTTAGGGTAAGTCTGTATTTGCTTAAGCTTCCTCCATCCAAATCTTTATTATTTTATAAGGTGTCAGTCCCCCCTGCATGACAATTCAACGACATGGTGCTACTAACCCTGTGCTTTACAGCTTTGGGGCTTTTTTTTACACTGCAAAAAAATGAAATCTAAATAAGTCATTTTTTCTTAAAATATGTGCATTTTTTCTTGAATTAAGGATTGAAGTGAAACACTTTGCCAATGGAACAAGACAATTTACACTTAAAACAAGAAAAAACAATTGCATTGTCTTATTTCAAGTGCATAATATCTAGATGCCTTATTTTAAGAGTAAAAATACTCGTTCCATTGGCAAATCATATTTTTTACCTGCGAAAATTAAGGGTAAGTACCCTTAATTTAGCCATTTTTTACTCATTTTGAGATCATTTTTGCAGTGGATTCCTTCCTCCTTCTTTCTGATGTTAATGAAATTTAATATGGACAACCATTTCCATTTCATCAGATCATAAAGTCCTTAAAAACTTTAGCCTTGGTCGATGAAATGATTTTTATTCTGCTTAGTTTATTGCAGATTGATGGTGTTTTCCTCAGAGTGACTCTGAGATGCATTAAGATGATAAGAATATTGAGGTTCATCTTAATTAGATCAGATTTTGGCTCCAAAGGCTATAATGTGTGTCTGTGTGACTCTCATTCACTGCTCTATTTGGGCGTAAAGATTAACTGTGGTTATAGTGACATAAGGTCCTTCGGTAATGATTGTCTATGAAAAATATCAGAACATCCATAAACACTTTTAGTGAACCATTACCTTAGGTAAAAGACAAAAGTCCAAATCCCAAATTTAGCAAACTGCTATGCAGGATCTAAAGGAGGTCCTGGAAGGCGGCTGTCCTGCAGGTTCTAGAGGTTTCCCTGCTTCAGCACAGCTGATATTCATTGAAAGCTGCTGATTAACAGGCTTTGCTGAACTGCAATCTTTAAGAGGATCCAGTTATCTAAGTATTTCTTATGACAAAGACTAACTTGACCTAAAACAGCTTTACTTTCCTTTTAAAACCAGATTTATGTTTACCTATTGTAAGTATTGAACGTAAGTGGGCCAACCACCCATTCTGTACCATCTTTAGCAGTGTGCTATACAGTAAGTTGAATCATTCTGTAAGAAAGAAGTGCCGTTAACTTCTTTAGCTGACCTGGAATTTCCCAAGTTGCTATCAGGGGACTTCTGTGACGTCATGTTTGCCACGAGTACTGCCCCACCTTCAGAGGATTTTGGCAAGTCCCGGTCCATGTGTAGATATTCAGGAACTGCGTGTGTTTCGCTATTGGTTGATTGACAGAGATTTCTCCAACAAGGTTTTTCTTGGTTACTGTCATTTCTCCATGGAAATCAAGTCACCCTTTTTGTTTACACTCCTGAACCCCTAAAAGATTGTCTGTTGAAAACAACTGAAAAATTAATAGCCATTGCCAATCTGATCAATTAACCAGGTTCAAATGGGATATTGTCTTTAAAATTGGCAGAACAGCAGGCACAAAAATTAGCATATTTGCATACATGAATATGCAAAAAAAATATGCTGATCATCAGAACATGCAAAACACTGGGAGGAGGATATATGGATGCAGTAACTTGTCACTCACAAAGTGATTTGTCAAATTTGAAACAGATTGCAGTTTTTGTCTCTCCAGCAATGCTATGCTTGGGGAAAAGAAATATTGCAACACGGCATAGTCTTGAGTCTCAATGCACAATTCTAGCTCACCTTCACAGTTACTGATGTTTCCGCTGCACCGGATGTTTTATTGGTCAGCAGCCATTTTGTACTTTTATCAGAATAATCAGATTAAGAGGAAAATATATATTAAAATAAGCCTCTTTTCAGTAAATTGATATGATTTACATGAACTTTAGCACTCATGAATACAAAGCTATTCTTACTCCAGAGAAGAGTCAGGATATCTCTGTTAGAAACACTTCAAAAACACGTTATTATATTCCCTTATTTAGACAGCTGCTGTTCTGAAACTCCCTAAAATCTGCGCCTGTTTGCTTAGCTTTGCAGAAAGAATTTAGCGTTCCTTATTTGGGATCATGGTAGCTCAAGTTCATAGTGTGATAATTAAGAAAATCAAATGACAAACATAAAAAAAATAGATCTTTACATATTATTCAAATGCTGTTTGTTTTATGGTGTGGAGCAAGTGTCAGAGAGGCTCTAAGGAGCCTTTTTTAAATCCATTCAACTCATCCTCTGCTACATTATAACTACCTTAAAGTGACTATTTTCCCTCTAATACAAGGACAAGTTCTCCTGTAGTTAATTATTATCTGCTAAACACACAGATTGATGGTGAGTAAAGGAAAATAGTGCCGCCCATCACCTGTAACACTGTTTTAATAAGCATATGGAATGAGGGGTGTGGAATTTGACCAATTGTTTGTTCAGAGAGAGCAGCTAACTGACATAACATTCTGTGCATGATGGAAAAGATCAAATCTGTATTAAAATAGCATGAAATGTTTGGTTTATAACTTTTTTTTTAGCTGTAATGATTAGGGATGCACGATATTGGGATTTTGGCCGATATCCGATATGCCGATATTTTAAAACT